AATCATCTTACTCCTAATTTTTGTATAATTAAAATTACTAGTACAGTATTTCATTAGAATTTCAAAACTGACTTATCCAATATATTGAATACTAAATATATATGAAAGAAAGCAGGCTCGAGACCAATTATCCTTTCTTTCCACATCGTATACTAAAGATAATTATCACTTTCACTAGTATTTTATTAAATACAGTAGTTTATATTAAATTTTTAAAGTTCATAATACTTTAAATTAATAGTTGTAAGAAATGTGTAAACTGACTTATTCTTTATTTTAGAATTTGTAAAAATGTATGTGTTTTGCTGGAAGTGTAGCCTTTGGGGATGGCATTCAGAAATGGTTGCTATCACCATTCTAAAGTAATACTTTAGTCTTTATAATTTACTAGAATAACAGAAAATGAAAGACACTACTACTAGAGTCTACACTACTATCACATGTAAATAAGCATATAAAATTTAGGGACTCAATTAGGGTGGGATTATGCAACAGTAACTAACCCTTAATATAGTTCAAAACCTTACGTATTGTTTTATAATTTGCAATTAACAAATATTTATAAAGAACTACTTTGTTTTAAAATGCCTTCCATTGTACATTGTCCTTTATATTAAACAAAAGAAAGCTAACAACTCTGTTGCAGGGGGATTAGAAACCCCAGGAAGTTTCCACTGCTATTTTATCTGGTCCCATTTCTCATCACTCAGCTGTTCCCACGTGAGCTTAGTAGAATCCACAATGAGTGTAAGGCTTTAGGGCAAAAGTATTCAGAAATGTACAACAATTTTGAATTTATACTTCATTTTGATTGATAGCCTCATTTTCTTTCCAATTATAAAAGTTTTTTGTGTGAAAGAGCATAAGAATAGTCTCAAAACAATACATACCACTTAATTCTACAATAAACTTTGTTTTTTTAATACATAAAAGTAATGAAATGTTAAAATTTCTCTACATTTTCGTATTGTAAATTACCTTTAGCAACAAGTGAAAAGAGACATTCATTGAAATGTACAGTAATAACGCATGCTGCTACAACAGTAGTAACGTGATTTTCTAATTCTTACAGGTTATTAACTCGAGTAATGTTACAAAATCAAACTTCTTTTTTTTATTATTAGGAAGTAAACGAGTTGAATCGAAATGAGGATAGATAAGAATTCTATCTTAGCCAGAAGGAAAAAAATACTTGAAGCTTAGATAGATTTTTTTTCTTTTCTTGCTAGATGGAATTCTCTTTCTCTTGTCTACTAAATTGGTAACTCGATCCCTTCCGAAACAACTTTATAAAAATTGTATGAAATTCCATTGACAATACTATTTTTCATTTACAAAGGTTTTGATATAAAAAATTTATTTTAAGTTATTTTTCTTCCTGTTCTTTCGAGTTCAAAAAATAATTTACAATTATATTTATGTTGCTGTATTCTTATTTTAAAGCATAGAATTGTACTTCGTATACACCTTATGTCGTCAACAGTATGCCATTTGCTAAAAATAGGCATTTTTTTGGCTGTAAGAGGCCCTTCTTTTCCAATATCTATAGCGGGTGGTATAGAACAAGGCTCAAAATATCCGCAGTTTTTTCACCCGGATTCGATCTTGTAATCCCCAGAGTAGCAGAATGACGCTTTGATCACCACTGCTTATTGTTATAGACTTGTTTAAACACGTCAGAAGTTATTTTTAATTTTTTGAACTAAAAATTCTATTTATCAAGCTGAATTTATCAATAGTAGAGAGAAAATTTAGAAAAATTAGCAAATGTTGCTATAACAACAAAGGAAATAAATGTAGGGGTAGAGAAGCTGTCTAGTATGTGTAAATATTAAGTTACAAAAATATGAAAATTTTAAAAATTTATTTAAAAAGAATAAAGAATAAAATTCTAAGAAGGAAAATTAGCAAATGCTACTATAGCAAACAATTTGCAGAATATAAATTTAGTAGCTTGTGTTATTGATTTGTAAATATACATGTATAAAATCACAAAAAAAAATTATTATTAAATTGGGATATAAAAAAAGAAAACAATATATAAAAATAGAAGATATAATTTTAAATTCTAACAAGAAGAAAAAATATATTATTCCTTAACTCTACTTTATATAAAATATTTCAATTGTTATTTTTATACATCTTGGTATATAAAAAAATGAATAAAACAACAAAGACTGGTGAAGTATGTTAAAAATAAATAAAAAGAAATAGAGTAAACTAAAATGCGAAGGAAGAAAAAGAAGGATATCAGCAGTAGATGTGATTTTTGTTGTAAATCAAATAATCCACATAACAATGTTTATGCATTAGGGGAAAAAGAGTTTAATTCGTTTTTATGCTAACAGATGGCGCTACGTACAGTAAATGGGCTACTACAGTTTCCTGTGTTAAAAATTTAAATTTTTTTTTTTCAAATATTTTATTTACATTAAATTTATTTCGATTATTATTTTTGTTTTCAGATTTTTAGAAAGTGTTTGCATATAACTGTGATATGGTTTCCTGGATATACATATTATCAAGATTTTAATACTTTCAAAATATCAATAAGGGAATTATTGGAAGTTGAAGCTCAAAGAAAGGTTGATAATGAAAATTCTCTGTAAATGAATTTCTGTAATTCACTATAACTTTTCAACAAATATATTTCTAATGAAAATCAATTGATGTTAATTCAATTTCTCTCCTTTATTCTAAAAAAACTTATTATTTTCAACTTTGAATTCATCACTCATCTTACTTTCTTCTATGCAATAATAATATAAGTACTGTACTATAAAATATTAATTCAAAAATATTAGTTTAAAACAATTATTTTTTCCAGAATTTGTATTTTTAGTTTTTAAATATATCTATAAATTGTATTCAGATATTTAAGAGAAATATAATCAATATTTATTATAAAGGTAAGTGTACAATGTGCGTGCCGCGAAAACTCAAAAACGAGTCCCGGTATGATCAAGGGATTTATATGGTGTGGTAGCCCTCTATCCCCATTCATGAAGAAGGTTCTCGTTTTTACCTGAAGGGCATGCTGTTGAAGATATAAGGACTGGAAGTTTTGCCCTGTAGAAATTTCTAGAACAGTCCAGAACATTTGAAAGTATTCGAGAGCATTCAACAACATTCCACAATATTGTCGACAATATCAACTTTAATATTCAAAAGAAAATTCTCAGTGAGGAGAGATTATACAAATTGATTGACACACAAAAGTTGAAGAAAGTGTCAACTTACCTACAGAATTTCTAAACTGTTTGCAAGTACCAGGAATGCCATTACACTGCCTTTGACTGAAAATTGGATCTCCAATTATACTCAAAAATCTCCAATTATACTCAAAAATCTGAAATCACCAAAACTATGTAATGGAACAAGGATGATCGTCAAACAACTATCGAATAACATCGTTGAAGCCGAACGTATGACTGGAAAGGACAAAGGACACAGTATTTATCCCCAGAATGCCACTGATCTCTACTGAACTGCCATTCCAATTTAAAAGACTGAAATTTCCAATCAAATTAGCCTATAGTTTTACAATTAACAAAGTGTAAAGACACACTTTAAAACATTGCGGCATCAACCTCAAAGACTCCTGCTTTTCTCACGGTCAACTATACATAGCTTTGCATCGAGTAGGAAATTCGAAAAATTTGTACATATATACCCCGGATAACAAAATGAAAAATGTTGTTTATAAACAAGTATTGTAAATAGTTAGAATATGTTTTCAATAAAATTATTTTACCTCTTACATTTTAAAGTTTATCCTTTTATTCCAACTACCACACAATCTCATATCAACTTCCTGAGCAGAGCCGGGTACCCCAGCTAGTTTATAAATGAAGAAAGAAAATAATTAATAGTTTAACGGATAATCCAGCAGATTGTTTGGCTATACAAATATAATTAAATTTGGCAAAATTATATCAAATGTTATATTGATAATTTTTTATTTCGATAAAATATGGCAGAAAAAAACTATATAAATGATTTGATGTATGAATAGAGAAGATAGTTCATAATTAATCAAATAAATATTTTAAAAGTTTGAGAAACCTCTTGATAAAAGATTTACTGCAAAAGTAATAAATTTTAGATTTATAGATTTATGACAATTTTTATCAATTTCTAAGATTTATATTTTAAATCTTAATCAGATTTTGCTTTATTTAGAAATTAAATCTCTTGACTTTATAAATATTTATATTTAATATTTGATTTGATTATTTGATCTTATTGAGTTTTTTGTTGCTGTCCAAAACATTTTTTCATGGAATTTTTCTTTTTAGATGGCCCTATTAAGAATTCACATCTTAAGAGTATTGAATGATTACTATAAATAATATTACAATATATATAATAGAAGGAAAGTATGGAAATTTGTCAAAAAAAAAAACTCTCCCAGAATTTTACATTTTTTGGATTTGGGACTTTGAAACATGAAGTAATGCAAAAAAAAAAGTTGGAAGTTTTTTCCTGTATGAATGGGTGTTAGTGTAGAGAGGCACGATTTTGTCTATTCACTTTGAAGCTTAATAAAACACTTGTGCCTTTTGTTGAAATTTCTGTTTTCAGGGAGGTGTGTGTGTGTAAGTGGCATTGATGCTATTAAATTTTGGTGATTAAAGGTGAAGGGGTGTGTAGTATAGATGGGGGCTGTATCTTATCCCAAGTGGGTTTAGACATAATAAAGATTTTACTCTTTACTAGTATTTAAAACTTTTTATAAAATTTATCTCTACTCTCAAAATTAAGCTTTTTGTCATCTTATAATTGAGAATCATTGATGATAATAAGTGCAGAGCGCAAACGGTTAGGAGTTAAAATTTGGTACACAGTTATGATATGTCATGAGAATGTACACTAAGAAAGGATTTTTGGAAATTTCCTCCTGAGGGGGAGAGGGTTAAGGATTACCCTGAAGAACTCTGTATCTACTGTACTATTTTAGATGCATTTTTGTGGGAAATTGCAAAGAATTCTCTAATTAGGCTTGGAAGAGGGGGGACTTAATTCTTGCACTCAGTTAAAACTGGTAAGATTGACTATATAACCGTCTGTCTTTATTCCTTTACTGTACACAATTTAAAGAATTTTTAAAATATGTTGGGCACTCAGTATGATAAACTCTTAAGTAAGAAAAGCTTTGTATATTGTAATAATTGTTATTTTATTTATTAATTATAATTGTATATTTTATTTATAACGAATATTTGTATACTCTATTAATCTAAGTTCTGATGATGATTATTAGATATGGTGTTTTAAGAAAAATATCTATAATCACTAAAAATAAATATTTTCAGTTAGAATATTTCTTACTTGTTTTTGTCTACTTCTGACTTCGAGGATTGGAATGTATCAATTATATAATAAAGTCAATGGTAATGATTTATTTTAATTTAATTTATTTATTGTCACTTATTTGCCGGTTTTGACCTGTAGAATCCTCAAAGTCGGAAGTAGAAAGTAGATATTTTTTACTTGTTTTTAACTGAAAATATTTATTTTTAGTGATTATTGAATAACCAATCCTATTGGTTCTAATTTTTAGAAAAATATCTATTATGTAATCATACTTTATAGCTTGCTTTTTGTAAAAATTATTTGAATGTTGTTTATTTTTTTTAAACATTTTCTCAAAATTAATTGAAATTGTATACTTTTGTTTAATTAAAATTTATTATTATAGAATCATTGAAAATTTGTTATGAAGCCATATTAATTAACCTTTTTAGTACAGTAAAATCAGGGCTGTGGAGTATGAGTTGGTAAAAATGGACCAACTCCGTCATCTGTTTTTTTAACGTACAGTAGTACCTCAGGATACGAACGCTCCAGCATAAGAAATTTTCAGGATAAGACATGAAATTCAAACATATTTTTGCTCCACGGTACGAACAAAAACTCGCCGTATGATGTTACATTAGTTTGCAGCGCCATTTTTTATTCACTTCTGTTCATTGGTCTCAGTCCACGTGTTTGCTTTGTTGTGGAAGGATCTTGCTTGATAAATGAAATCTTGAGGTATTATCAGAAAGTGACTGATTTTATTGAAAAGAAACATCCTGAAAAGGTTTACACTGGCTGTATTGCTGCTCAGAGTAATGACATTTGCCTAAGTCATTTTAGAAACATTTTAAAAAGTAGGCAAAGCCAAACCTCTTTGGATAGATATTTTACCAAGCAACCTCNTTGCTGCTCAGAGTAATGACATTTGCCTAAGTCATTTTAGAAACATTTTAAAAAGTAGGCAAAGCCAAACCTCTTTGGATAGATATTTTACCAAGCAACCTCTATCCAGTGAAAGTGCTGGTGGAAGTGAAGGAAAGAAAGCAAAAGCAGTGGATAAAAAAATTTAAAAATATATATAAAACAGAAAAGTTAAAAAATTAGTATTGTTATTTTTAAGTTATTGTTACATTATGTTATATAAGTTAAGTTTTAGTATCATTTTTTCGTATCCTGAGATACTACTGTACTTTATATTAAGGCTCCTAGTATTAGTGTTAACTTCCTAGCTTGCATTATATGATCCTCCTGTGACACAAGACTTTATAATGATTTCCTTACTTCATGCTTTTTCTTTACATGTTACTAATTATTGTTGAATTGTTTTCTTTTCCACAAATCTTTATTTAAATACATTCTCTGTTAGCTAATTCTAAACTTTTATTGCCAAAAGACCTGTACAAAATGGCTTAGTAAAGTATTCAAAAATACTAGATTTAACCTAAGACCACAGATACACATTTCTGTGTATATATACTTCGACCATGCAATGACATACAAAATAAACATTTTGTATGTCATTTGCATGGTTGAAGATGATAGTAGTGATGATGAAAAACTGTGGGGAAAAAAGATGATTACTTTCAGTTTCTTTAGGAATATCTGGTGATTCACTTTGTAATGATAAAATGCCTTAATATAATCAAAGTATGTTTTAAAAAATTTAGGGACAGGAGTTCAAGTCAGATCTAAAATTTTTTGATTTGGGGTTAGGGCTTAATATATCAACCCCACATCCCTAAGACAGATAATGTAGTTCTAATCTGCTGAAAAAATAACAACAACTTTCTGAAAAGCAATTGCAAGTTTTTGAAAATTCTTTTATTTTGGGATTGTTGTTTTGAGAAGTTTTAGAATTCAATCTTTATCATTGGAGATATATTTTGAAATTGTATTAGGAAATATTTCATACCTCATTTCCTTCAATTTATAATATGCTAATATTATGAGAGGAATATTATTTGTCATGTTATCAAACTAAATGTAAATTATATAAGATTTTAAAATATAAATTTTCGTCTACAAGTACGTATCTTCTAATATCAGGACTTATTACACTGGCTTTACAGATAATGCTACAGNGACACAAGACTTTATAATGATTTCCTTACTTCATGCTTTTTCTTTACATGTTACTAATTATTGTTGAATTGTTTTCTTTTCCACAAATCTTTATTTAAATACATTCTCTGTTAGCTAATTCTAAACTTTTATTGCCAAAAGACCTGTACAAAATGGCTTAGTAAAGTATTCAAAAATACTAGATTTAACCTAAGACCACAGATACACATTTCTGTGTATATATACTTCGACCATGCAATGACATACAAAATAAACATTTTGTATGTCATTTGCATGGTTGAAGATGATAGTAGTGATGATGAAAAACTGTGGGGAAAAAAGATGATTACTTTCAGTTTCTTTAGGAATATCTGGTGATTCACTTTGTAATGATAAAATGCCTTAATATAATCAAAGTATGTTTTAAAAAATTTAGGGACAGGAGTTCAAGTCAGATCTAAAATTTTTTGATTTGGGGTTAGGGCTTAATATATCAACCCCACATCCCTAAGACAGATAATGTAGTTCTAATCTGCTGAAAAAATAACAACAACTTTCTGAAAAGCAATTGCAAGTTTTTGAAAATTCTTTTATTTTGGGATTGTTGTTTTGAGAAGTTTTAGAATTCAATCTTTATCATTGGAGATATATTTTGAAATTGTATTAGGAAATATTTCATACCTCATTTCCTTCAATTTATAATATGCTAATATTATGAGAGGAATATTATTTGTCATGTTATCAAACTAAATGTAAATTATATAAGATTTTAAAATATAAATTTTCGTCTACAAGTACGTATCTTCTAATATCAGGACTTATTACACTGGCTTTACAGATAATGCTACAGTGTTTCACAGAAAACAATTTTTTATTTTATTTAATATACCTATTATACAGATATATTAAATAAAATAAATTGCTTTCTGTGAAACTGTGTAGCATTATCTGTAAAGCCAGTATAATAACTCCTGATATTAGAAGATACGTACTTGTAGATGAAAATTTATATTTTAGTAAGTCAAGGACATTGAGGCATTTTAATTATATAAGATTTTGTTTAATTAAATTGAAAAGAATTTTTTAAAAAAATGCATAACTGTAGAACATTCAGTTAACAAAAAATTTGTTACATAAAAATATAACAAATGAATATAGAAGGTATTCATTTGTTATATTTTTATGTAACAAATTTTATTCATTTATTTATATATTTTTCTTTTAATATTTGATTTGTTTTAAAGTTTTGTTGTCATGTTCTTTTATTTCTTCATCTTGTATAAATAAATAAAATATTAAGTGTCTCTAGTATTTACATATGAGCACTATGATCACTCTTGTGCTGAGTTTAATTTAATGAACTCCCAATGGTATGATAAAGAATAAAATATTTTTTGTAGTATTTTACATTTTATTTTTTTAATTAATTCCCAACAGTATTGAATTTAGCAAAAATATTTGAGTTTTCTCAGAGTATATTTTTACATTCTGATGTTATATTTATCTTCAAATTACATTTAGTAAAAACATTACCAAGCTTTTAAGTTTTACATTTTGATATATCACTATACTTTTGTAACTTTTTAAAATTGCTCACAATGAAAGTGAGAATTTATTTACATTTAAAACAAAATACTGTGTTCAAACTAAATAATAATCACTCTTGTATTATGTTATTAGTTAATAAAAAGTTTTTAACAACAGAATATAGAAAGTTTTAAAAAAATTTTCTATAATAATTTGACTTTCATTTTTATTTAGGAAGCAGCCAATAAAGCGAAACAAAAAACTCCTGCCACAACAACACCACCAAGTGACGACAGAGAAGACGATCTCTCTCCTGTTCCAAATTTAGCACCAGCTCAAAGAGTTCGTAGGGGTGCCGTTAGTGCAGAAACTTATTCTGAAGAAGATGCAACTACATATGTCAAAAAAGTACGTATTAGAATATTATTTATATTAAAATAAAGAGTAAAAAATACAGAAATGAATAATAATAATAAAAAAATAATGGCTTTGATAATTCTAAGTAATTCATGATCTAAATTTATAAAAACTTTTATATTGTGTGTAATAATATAATTTGTTTTTATTTAATTTATGAAGAACATATTAATTTTTAAAACAAATTAATATGTTCTTCATAAATTAAATAAAAACAAATCATAGAATTAAATTTTTCACTAAAACACAATTAAAAATTAAGTAGTGTGTTCAAGGAACTATATTTTTATGTCAGTAATATCTAAAATACTATTAACATTGAAATTAGCATTTCTAATTCTTTTTATTAAAACTTAATGACACATTCTCAGTTATTAATGAATAAAGCATGATTTTGATCATATAATATTCAGGAGAGAGATACATTATTTGGAAAGGCATCAGAAAGTAAATATGATACATCATAATGCACTATAAGAAAACACCTTTGTCACAAAAAAATTGAAAAGTTATCATAAATAGATAAGAATTTAATTATGATATTTCATTAATATATAAAGGCTGGAATTCATTATAATTTTTTTCTTTGCAATGAAGTTATCACAAAAGTATCATAAATATAATTGTTTTTTCACTTTTAATGTTACTAGATAATTGAAAATGCTTTAGACAAAACACTTCATTTCTAACAACAGATGATGTGGATAGTTTGAAAATTGTCTATTTTTTAAAATGCTTTTCATATGCTTTGAGTTTCCCCCAATAAAATTGTCTCAAATGTCTTTTCAATTTAAAAAAATGTACTTACAAATTACATAATTGATCAAACAATCTCAATTATGTAATTTCCACTTTTAGTATATCTTTACTTTCTTTTGATGCGAAATTATTCTGTTAATTTCTTGATGCAATGATTTCTTATACTAATCATATAAATATATGCTGGTAATATGATCTCTACCTAAAACAGTCAGTTTTTGTTTTTATACAGAAATAATAGCTGATTTCATGAATTTGTATAAATGAATCATTATTATATACAGACGGCAAAAATATTTTAGTTGAACAAGTACTATGTTTTTTTGTATTTGCTTGTTCAACCGTAATACTTGACCTTGTTGTCCAAATAAATCCAATTCTATAAAAGTATTTTTGATTCTAGCTAGATTTGTACAAATAAAATGTTGCAAGCAACAAACATTTTATTTGTACAAGACATGCTATGCAAAGACTTCAGTGATGCAGGCAATAGTGTTAAGTGTGGCCCCCATTCTGTAGGTATGAAACATCACAGAAGAAATTTAGTTATGGTCAGATATTGACTATCCAGTTCATTGTCTTTAGAAAGGAAACACATTGAGTAGCATCCCATGCATTATGCATTACTGAGGTCTCTCGTTACATGAAATTTTTTTTATTATTTATTTATTTAATGGATCTCCATGACCTGAAATGTCATCTTACTAAATTTGGATTGCTAAATATTGCTAGACAGTGTTGATAACAGTACTTTACAATTACCCAGTATTTGTATTTACATATCTAGATTGAAATTTTTTCATTCTGTTCTATTTTGTTATAAAACTTGTGTTGTTCGAAAAAATTATAGAAATTAAAGATCAGATCTTTTCACATTATTGATTTTTATATTTTTAAATAATTATTAATAATGATAATTGTATTTTTCAAGTTACAAAAGAGTTTATTAAATGTTTGAAATTATTGGATATTAGAATGCAATAAAGTTTTGTCTGTTAGATGTGTTCAGTGTCTAGAATAGTCTGTAGGTATAATACTTTAAACTAAATAAAAATGCTAGTAAATCAGTACGTAATTTTTAAATTAGAACAGAAAGTTAATAGTTAGGCACATTTACAAATAACATTATTTAAAGATGGAAATTTTTACAATTTAGGTGGTTCCTAAAGATTATAAAACCATGGCTGCACTCTCCAAAGCAATTGAAAAAAATGTTTTATTTGCTCACTTAGATGATAATGAAAGAAGGTAATATGAACTTTTTTAATCTTTACTGATAAATAGTGAAACAGATTTTAAATTTACACATCATTTAATATTGTTTCAAAAATTTAATAATATCCAAATATTCTGCAAAAGGGAAAGTATTAATATGTAAATAANAAATATATGGAAAAAAATCTTAAAATTTCTAGATATTTTTGATTGCATAATTTTGTAATTTATTTAATTTTCTTTTAGTGATATATTTGATGCAATGTTTCCTGTAATACATAATGCCGGTGAAGTTTTAATTCAACAGGGAGATGAAGGTGATAATTTTTATGTTATTGACCAAGGAGAGGTTGAGGTATGTTTAATACATTTTATTTTTATATCTTAAAAAATCTTAATTATGATAACATAAGTAAAAATTGTTCTGTCAGTTTTTATTGATGTAGGAATTTATTTTTATAGAAAGATCAGTGTGAATATTTTGAAATAATTGTGATTTTTGAACATGAAACTATGAATATAAAAAATTAAATACATTAAAATAGAATTAATTCTGGACTGTCATTTATTAAGTTAAGATTCTGTTAATGGATACTTTGTTTTTAATATTCTAATATACCATCAAATATCATATGCATTTGATTTTCACAGTCAAATTAGTTAAAATTGTCAAATGAACAATGTTTTAACAGTGAGATTTCATGTCAGTATTCACAAGCATGAAATTTACTAGATGCATAGTATATAGTGAATATACAGTAGAGTATCGATTATCCAAAACAATTTGGGACTGGGGTTGTTCAGATAACTAACAGATCATGTATGAAAAAATATATTAACCTATCCCATGTTGAAATTTTTCTACGTTGCATGTTGCTTTGCATTGAATTTTCGTCAATGTTAAGCCTAATGAAAAATTTTTAAAAATAATCATCATGGGTATTGTATCATTAAAAATTATTTCTTTATTTTGCACAAACAAAATAAATATATTGAAAAATATAAAAACAGAAAAAATTATATTTTGGAAGTTAATCTATTATCGAAAACATTCCAATTCAGCACAACACACATCCTGACACAGTCCTCAGTAAAACATCACACAAAACATGCAAAACTCACCACTGATGATAGAAAAAAAAGCCTCGTTCAAATACTGGCATTCCTTAAGTATCCTCTCATGGTTGTGCTAGTGCTGCCAGCTAAAATACGTACACCAACAAAAATAATATTGGAGTAGCCCAAGACATAGCCAAATATTGCAGCGCCACAGCACTAGCAGAAATTTGAATTTGTCGACTGGAACGTTTTCAGTTAACTGATGTTTTGGTTCATCGGTATTTGGATAATTGATGCTCTACTGTATAATGAAATATGTATATACATTGTCTTTGGCATATTGGCTAACTGCTGAAACGTAGCTTTGTAGAAGATTCATATACTGGACATCAATCATTCAGCTTGTTGTAGATCAAAAGTTCATCAAACCATTTCAAAACAAAATTAAAATCAAAGTAGTAGGAGAGACATGTACCACTATAGCATTGATATAATACACACAAATTTTGAATGGATTGTAGTGCAAACAACACAAACGAGCCTGCATTAAGTCAACTTTGTGCCTGATTCTAATGTGCAGTGTGTATTAGAATTCAGAAAATACAGTAACTTAAAATTGATTTCATTTTCTCAAAACTGTTTACTATCAAGTATGTAACAATTACAACCCACTTAAAATCCAACTTTAATTTCATGCACTTTTATTTTAAACATGAAATATTTAAAAATTGAGTAGTTATTTCATTAGCTTTTATTGTAAACTATTAATTGAAATTAATTACCCCTTAACCCCTTAAGGACATTGACATTTTTTATATTAATTTAATTAAACGTAAAAAATAACTTAAAACTGAAAAAAAACGAAAGAAATGCGTTTATTTTGAAGAAAAAGCTTCCAAGTTTAAGTTCCTTTGTCTTGCCTTTCTGCAAAATTTAACACCAATGAGTCATTGTTTACACAGCTGGATGACCTTGAGAACAGCTGGAGTTGGATTTTCTGGGGCATTCTCATAGAGGTCTTGGGAGGACAAGGGTTTAAAGTAGGGTGACTACTAACTAGGCCTATATTTTTAAATATTTTTAAAAAATTAAAAATTTTATTGCGATTTTCAACCCCCCTAATTAATTAAATTTATATAAAATAAAACATATTAATTAAAAAAATTTAAAAACTATTGGAGGTCGTTTTTGACATCAGAAAGCAGCTTTAAATAACTTTACCGATGTCAAATCCATGCACTACAACTTTAGAACGATTAATTAAATTTGATAAAAAAAACTCATTAAAAAACAATTAAGCCTTACTCAAGCCTCATCAAAGGCTAATTAAAATCGTGATAAAATTTTTTCGCACGGGCAAAAAATTTTGAAAAAATTTGGGGACTTAAAAAACATTCCAAAAATTCAAAAAAAAAATTTTTTTTCAAAACTCCTCTTAATTAAGGACCGTGTTTTATGTAACACTATGTAACTTGCCCAAGATATCTTGGGTTATGGGCTTAAGGGGTATGACATTTTACCAATAATAATATGTTGTTTTTTTTCAATTACTTATTTCTTTGCGAAACAATTGTTTTCATATTTCTAGTTATATTATTCTAATTAGAAGTTAATATACCTGATAAAAGAATACTGTACAATATATTAAAATAAGATAATCTTAATTCTTTCCCTAGTTTCAAGAATTGACTATCAATGACATTGAACTAAAGTATATTATTTATCTTGACAGCAGCTTAATTTTATAATGAATTTTTAGAAGATAATGCTTATTATAAATAATATGATTACAGTATCAGAATACCATATGACTTTTTTCCATAGAAATTAGTGTATTTGTTTATTGATAATTTTTTAATATACATTTATAATTTTTAAAGATATAAAAATAATAAATTTATTTTAAAAACAATGTTTTATTGATAAAATACTATATGTTCAGACAAATTTTTTATTACTGAAATTCTTACACTAAATTTTTTAAACATTTTACTTTATTTGTAACAGATTATTAGCATAATGTGTAATCAGATTTATTTTTTGTAATTATGTATTTTGTTTTATTAAAAAGGTAATAAGAACAAAATTAATTTAGTCTTGTAGAGCACATTGAATATTATTTTTAAAAATTTTTAGGTTTTTGTAAATGGTCAACTTGTCACAACTATTGGAGAAGCAGGCAGCTTTGGAGAATTGGCTCTCATCTATGGAACTCCTCGGGCTGCAACAGTTAAGGTAATGAAAATTTAAGGAAAGACTGTTTTTAAATTTTAAAACTGGTATTCTAAATGTGTTACTTTTTCTGTTGAAATGGTTGTTTACATGTAAGATGTTATCCAGTGTGAAAATCTTACATTTTAACAACTATTTCAACACATTACCTGTATAGTAATGGTTTTCTATAGCTTAGTGGTTATATAGATAAAAATTGTAATTGCAAAGGTTTATCTATTTACTTTCAAAACTAATCTTTCAGATAAGTAACTTGTATATACTTTCTAGATAAGTCATTTAGTAACTTTCACAGTTCTACAACTGAAACAATTATCAAACTTTTCAATATAATAATTCTTAATCTCCAAATTAACAGCTTTTTTTTTTTTACAAACTTAATCAATGATTTAAGCCTCCTACATTGTTCCTTAGATAAACTTTTACTTCTTAATAAATTTCTTTTATGATTCAAAATTTTTTTTGTGTCACTGGATAATGGGCTGCAATTTTTAAATTGTAGACCTATAATTTCTGTTGTCATTCATTAAACTTGGAGCTAAATAGATGACTGGCATGACACTATTGTATTTCAGAAGTATAATATATAGGGGCAAGACATTAATAAAACCAAAATCAGATGTAGAAAGCTTAGTTTAAATTATAAAATATGATTAAAAATTGCATCCTGGCAATCTGATGATGTTATGATAATTTTGTCAATTTTTTTTCATTTGTTAATAATAATTGTACATCAAAAATAGAATGACTGGAAAATATTCATCATAGATACAAGCAAACATAGTTTCAAAATAGCCATATGCCTGATTAATAATAAATTTTTATTTGAAAAGTGTGCATAAAATATCCTATATAAATATTTTTTGTGTATGTCATTCTCTTAGATTATAATTTTTTAATCACTGTTATTAGGAAAATGGTGGTTAAAGTTAAATATACAGGATTTAGAGGAAATTATTTAAATTACTGTGAAAGTTGATGTTTTTTTGTAAAAATAATTTAACAATAAAAATATTTTAGATTTTACAATTGGAAATTAACTTTCTTTAATCATTTAGGCTAAAACAGATGTCAAACTTTGGGCTATTGACAGAGATACATATAGACGAATATTAATGGTAAGTATTCTTAAATTCTGTGTAAGTTTAAGAGATTTTCAAATTTATTTATTAAATGGTACACAACAGTTTAAAAAAAATTTTATTTTTATTTAATTTGAGATATAAGACTTGATACCTAGAATGCTTTTAATTTTTACTATATATTTTTTTCATTTCACAAAATGATACTTAATATAAATATGCATGTACAGTACTGTACATAAACATATATAACATTAAACCATCAAACTTACTAAATGTGTGTGTAAAAGGTAATTTATAAAATTTCTCAAATAATCAAAAGCCTGTAGATAACCAGCATCATTTAAAAAGAAGTATGTATTCTAAGAAGCTAAATAATTTACAAAAAAAAATGATAACTATGATGTTTTTTGTAGTTGCAAATGAACAGAAAATTAAGACCATACATTATGCATTATATATATATATATAATGCATAATATAGTAACATTGTTTTGGTTTGCTAGGTTTTAAACCAGTTAATATGTATACTAAACAACTTCCATTACATGTGCATATATATAATATGGTCAGTTTGTATGACATATGAATGAGGTTATCAATGATATTCTCCTGACCATTGTTTCAACTTTTATCACTCTTGTTATTTAGCTAAAAAGTTACATTACAGTTTTCCTGTTTTTATTTTAACTAAACAAACATATTAACATATTTTTCTTTATTCTGTAAATAATAAAATGAAAAATAGTAAAACTGTAATGAACTTCCTTAGCTAAAAAGAGTAACAGAAGTGGAAACTTTGACCATACATCATACATACAGATTAGATTTCACTGTATCATTGTACTGTACCATACATGTGTATGCATTTGTGTGTTGTAGTTTGAATAAATAATAATCTGTTTATAAAATAAACAAGGTAATGTTAAAGCTAGATATATTCAAAAATTAATATATAATTTCTAATAACGTTTTTGTTTCTGTTAACTAAAAACTTATCATTTGCCAATGGTAAATTGCTGCTTCTAATTTCTTTATTTAAATTTCCATTTCAATATAACTGATTAGTTAAGTTGATTTTTTTTTTAAAAAGATAGCTATTTTAAATCTTAAAGTATTTTATGTTTAAGAAATTTGTTGTTCAATGACTATTAGCTATTGACATTTGTCATAATTGAGAATTTTTTTTCTTCTTCTTTAGGGAAACACAATAAGGAAAAGAAAATTATATGAAGAATTTCTTAGTAAGGTTTCTATTTTAGGTAGGTGTAATATTTTTCATCTTTTAAATGGAAATACAAGGGGATACATTTGAGACCAAGCCTTTTGTTCAGTACATTATGATTGTGCAGTAATATTTGAATAACATGTAATGCAAACATGCTTCAAAGTTGACTACTTTATCATAAAATCATTACATTTGTTTCATGATGATTTTTTCATTTTATATGGAGATGTTTTCCATAATAAATATACAGTCTCAAGTGAATCACTCTGCATTAATATCTTATTACTTTGAATTTAAGCTGCACTTTTCCAATTTTTAAAACATAAAATAAGGATGTAACTTAAATTCAAAGCAAATATTTTAACTTTTAATTTCTGACAATCTCCCACTCTCCAACAATTGGGTCTTTGCTTTACACTGTATGCATGCAGCTAGTATTACGATCATTGATAGCAGTTTATTTGATGGTTCCCCACTTGCACTTTTCTGATTTAATCCAGTTGCTGTTTGATAGCAGCTGTGTAGAATTGAATTTTAAAATTTTATTACCCAGACTCACTAATAATGGAAAAACATGTGATGCTGAATTCAAAAGAAAGTTGGTGTGCACCAAAGAAATTGGAAATTGTGCAACCAGTAAAGATTTACGGTTGACAAAAAGAATTGCATCATCGATGAGCCATGAAATAAAAGTTATTTCAGTGTAAAGAAGACAGAAAATTATTCTAGGGGCCTAAAAAGGAAGATACCCTGCAATTTTTTCCAATTTTAAACCCTTACTGTGGTTTAAATTTGTGGGTGGCTTATATTTGAAGTAATAATTAATTGAAACTTTGTTTTAGTTGCTAGATTAAAGAGTGAAGAACTCAATTTATGAATATTAAAGTAATCTTATAAAATTATTTAACATAGTCATTTTAAGTTAGTATTTATGTTAGTAAGAATTTTTATTTTAAAATGTTATATAGTTATTAAATAACTTCCATTGAATTCAGACTTTTTCAAAAACTATACTTTAAACAGCAATGAAATGTTTGATCACTTTATAGGTAGTCACAAAATGGAGTTAATTTTTAACCTATTTGATGTTGAAATTTTTATTTGTTGCCTTTGACACCATGTTAAATTTTCGTTGATGTTAAGCCTAAAATTTTTTTTTATGTTTTACAAACAAAATAAATATATTGAATAATATAGAAACAAAAAAAAATTATATTTTAAAAGTTCGTTTTAATATAAAAATCGTGACGCATAGTGACATCTAGTACCAAAAACATTCCGATGTAAACACAAATATATTTGGGATCACTCACGCAGGTCAATGAGGTCAACACAAATGTTTTCATGAACAACATAGGACAGGTTAAGAATTAATATGTTAGTATTAACACTGAACATAACCTAAGTGTTATTCTGTAGTTTTGATGATTCAAAAGATATTCCTATTGGCCAAAGAATGTTTTTAGGGATAAATCAACCTTCAAAATTGGTCATGTCAAGTAATAATTTTTTTCAGTTTCATATAAAAACAATTATCTGGTTTTAATGAAACTAGCATGAAAGTATGTCTTATAACAAATAGTCAAAAAATACATCTTTTTTATTTTTTTTTAACCTTTAGAAAATTTTGAGGTCACTCACTTGTGGAGAACCAGAGGGAACATTTTTGTTGAACTTAAATCATTTAAGATTGCTAAAACTTTTAACTTTTTAACAAACCACGATAACATGAAAGTTTCAATAATAAAGATAGAGCACAATTTAATTAGCCTAAAGCCATTTGGTGGATTATTAATCAGCATTATGTAAGCAGATGTTGTTTAAGGTATTAATCATTTTAAAAATTGAACTTTAAATTCCTGAGGAGTAAAAATGATTATTTTGGGTAATTTTTAAAATGATTGTCAAGGTTACTTAAAACAAAAAGATTCCACTGGATTATCCACACGTGATATTAACAAAATCAATATATCTTCAGTACTTCTGGGATGAAAAGGGTGCAAAGAACTTTTGATTCACCCTGTATATATACACAAATCAAGCCTAACATATAGTAGTAAACAAAGATTTTAATTAATTTTTTTATGTCATTATTAAAATTAACACAAGATGACAGTTTAACTGCCTACCTTTTACATAAATTGCATAATATAATTAATTAGCCATATTATAGTCCAAACAAAATCTAACCATATTCTTGTTTATGTTGGGGCTGGTTTATTAGTAGGTTTATTTGATCTTTAAACTTAAAGTACAAAAACATCAAATTGATTTAGATTGTTTAATTAATATTTTCAAGGAATTTCTATAAAAGGTGTGTAGCTAATAATAATCCAAAACTTTCAAAATTGTCGAAAAATTTTAAGAAAATTAATACTTTAAATTGGCAATTTTAATGTTGCATTATTTTATTATTAGAATATTCAAAATCAACATAATTTGTATACCCATAAAAATTGAATTTATTTTCTTCAAAATTAAATTAGTATGACTAATTTCTTTATTGAAATTTAATGGGTTTATAATAATTTATATGCTATTACTAATAAAATACAATATTATTAATAAAACTTTTGAATATCTATTTACTTGTTAATATAGCTAAGTTTATTTTTGAAAATATAACTAAGTATTAATATGTAAATAATTATTTTAAAACTANCATTATTGATTTTTATATTTTTAAATAATTATTAATAATGATAATTGTATTTTTCAAGTTACAAAAGAGTTTATTAAATGTTTGAAATTATTGGATATTAGAATGCAATAAAGTTTTGTCTGTTAGATGTGTTCAGTGTCTAGAATAGTCTGTAGGTATAATACTTTAAACTAAATAAAAATGCTAGTAAATCAGTACGTAATTTTTAAATTAGAACAGAAAGTTAATAGTTAGGCACATTTACAAATAACATTATTTAAAGATGGAAATTTTTACAATTTAGGTGGTTCCTAAAGATTATAAAACCATGGCTGCACTCTCCAAAGCAATTGAAAAAAATGTTTTATTTGCTCACTTAGATGATAATGAAAGAAGGTAATATGAACTTTTTTAATCTTTACTGATAAATAGTGAAACAGATTTTAAATTTACACATCATTTAATATTGTTTCAAAAATTTAATAATATCCAAATATTCTGCAAAAGGGAAAGTATTAATATGTAAATAATTATTTTAAAACTAGAAAGTTTAGATAAATGGGAACGATACACAGTGGCTGATGCATTGGAACCTGTTCAGTTTAATGATGGTGATGTAATAGTGCAACAGGGACAACCAGGAGATGATTTCTTCATTATTGAAGAGGTATTTCAAATAAAACTTTAATGTTAAAGTAAAATATATTGTGCTTATGGTTTTTATTTTTAGGGTACTGCTGTTGTACTACAGAGACGTTCTGATGATGAGCCACAAGTCGAAGTTGGACGGTTAGGCCCATCAGATTATTTTGGTAAGTCTTAAATTTAACAATTATAATAATAAGATTGTATGAATTATAAACATGTTTTGATGGGGAAAATTTCAAAATGGTAAAATGACAATAAGTTTCTTATAGACTACTGTTTAATCTTGAAATTTTTACCCCACTCTCTAACAGTAGTTTATTAAATAAATACTCTCTGTAGCTAAGATTCCATCAGAACTTATAACAAGTTTACAACTTGCACTACTATGTAAAGTTACTATTGTTACACAAATATGTTTGCAATGATAATTACAACAGAAACTTAGCTTCAAGAAAGGTAAAAATCAATCTAAAGCAGTAAACTTACAAAGAAAAAATTATGCTAACACAAAAAGGCAGAGAATCTTGGATTAGTGCATTTTTGTGAATTTAGGATTTTTATCAAAATTTTAAAATTGTTTTAAACAAAATAATAGTTCCTTAAATTCTAATAAATAAGAATGTGATAAATCCATTTTCCAATATTTTGTTATTTTGTAAGTTTTTACTTTCTGTAATTAAAAATTATAACTTGAAAGAAAAGTTTTTATTTTGAGATGTGAGATTATTTAATAAAAATGTAATTTATTAAAAAAAACATTAACTGTTAAATTTCTATTGTAATTTTGTTGTCAAAATAGATTCATGGGATTGGGATTACATAATCTATATATATACATACACTACTATAGTTTATTGCCCTTACTATTATTATTACAGTTTTTTTTTTTTTTTTTTAATATACAAGTAAACTTTTAGGGCTTATCACACTGACTCATTTGGCAAGAGGAGCTTGTTAATCATATTAACCTATATACATGCACACAATTACCAATCCAAAATGCATTTTGGGCTTTACAGTGGTATATCTTCAGTTAGACATTTTTGGCAATTTAAACATCAGGTGTATACAAACTATTAAAATTAAAACAAATATATTACAAGAATGGTTGAGAATTAAAAGCAAAAATTGTAAAAACACAACTTTTTTTAAACAGGAATCGTTCCTTGGCTTATTGTAATCATAATTCCAACCACTCTCTTCTATATTTTCCTTTTTCTCTATAGCAAATAGGCACTTCATTAAATCTAATTTAATTTATATATTTTGTAATACACTTCTTGTGTACTCTTGTATTCAGTTTATGAGCTCTATGACTGCTTTTCTTTTCTGCTAAACTTATTACATCATTCAGAAACAGGACAAGCTGAATGATGGTGTAATAAGTCTAGCAGAAAAGAAAAGCCATCATAGAGCTCATAAACTGAATACAAGAGTACACAAGAAGTGTATTACAGAATATATAAATTAAATTAGATTTAATGAAGTGCCTATTTGCTATAGAGAAAAAGGAAAATATAGAAGAGAGTGGTTGGAATTATGATTACAATAAGCCAAGGAACAATTCCTGTTTAAAAAAGTTGTGTTTTTACAATTTTTGCTTTTAATTCTCAACCATCCTTGTAATATATTTGTTTTAATTTTAATAGTTTGTTATACACTTGATGTTTAAATTGCCAAAAAAGTCTAACTGAAGATACACCATTGTAAAGCCCGAAATACATTTTGGATTGGTAATTGTGTGCATGTATATAGGTGTATATGATTAATTAATAAACTCCTCTTGTCAAGTGAGCCAGTATGATAAGCCTTAAAAGTTAATTGTGTATTAACACAAAAAATTGTAAAAAAATAATAATTATACTAAAAGTTCTGTTTTAAACAATGACAAATATAGAGTATAAGAGCAACACAATGTTTATTATTTAAAAATTTTAAAGCTCTCTAATACAACTATGAGTTGAAATTAAAAAGGTATCCCAATTTTAGTTTTAGTAATGTTTTAACTTTGAAAGTTATTTAAGATTCAGCTTTTTGCAAATATGACAAAAACTGTGAGTCTTACACCATTGACTTTTATATATCAGAAATATATAATCACAAATTTTATCAATTATATATAATTTTAACAAGTTTTGCAATATAATTTTAAAAATTTGCAATACTGTTTAAAGGTATATATATAACCTTTAAGTAGTATTGCAAATTTATAAAAAAAATTAGTATAAAAGACTAAATTCTCATGTACACTGATGCAAACTAAACTTCCTACAAGCAGATCTAGTAAATATATTAAATCTCTTACACAGAAATTTAATGTTTTAGGAAGTTTCTTAAAAAAATTTGAAGATTATGGTAATGGAAACAATGTTTAGATTTTAGTAAATTATATTTTAAGAAACATCTTAAAAGTAAATGAACTAAAAATTCACAACTTTATGCAGTACAATATGTATAAATTGTACCTTCTGTGGATAAAATTGTTTTAAAAATAGTGACTATTATTGCTATCACTCCAAAAAAAGTAACTTTTTAATGTAAGTTTTTATTTTTGCAGAATAGAGGTTGACTTACTATTAAAATGTAAAATAATAGTTTATAATTGGTGATAGCATTATATTATAAATTAATTTTACTTCATAAAAATTTTGCTCTTTATATAATATAATTATAGTAAAACAGAAAACATTTCTAATGAATACTTTAATTTTATTTTTACAAAAGGTGAAATAGCATTGTTATTAGATCGTCCAAGGGCTGCAACAGTCAAAGCTCAAGGCCCTCTCAAATGCATCAAATTAGACAGAGCTCGTTTCGAACGCGTCTTGGGACCCTGTGCGGACATCTTGAAACGTAACATGACTCATTACAATAGTCTCATTTCTCTTTCCGTATAATTGATATCGTTACTTGGTAAGTTTCCTCGCACGGCTTTCCCCGTCTAAAAGATTAAAATTTCACGGTGTTTCGTTTTAAAACAGGATCCGCACTAAATCGAAGACTGGAAGTAAAACACCGATCTGTTAAAGCATCCAGGCTGTTGAACTTCATGCCAAATAAGAACCTGTAGTGTTTAAAAAAAATATACCATTTTTGGAAAAACAAATTGTGTATTTAGATATATGTTTTGCAAGAACAATGTTTCTTAAATGTATTTAGTTTGTCCACTAGATATTCATTATTATCTGTACAGTATCGAAGATTTATTTTTATGTAGTAACTATTGTTTGTTATAACCGTAAGAGACTTTTTCTTTAACGTAGGGGTAATAAAAGGCCGACCGCACCCGCCGAAACATCCAAAAGAATCGATAAAGCCAAAAGCAATACGTCAATATATAAATTTGTTTTCTTAAAATATTTAGATTCGAAACAGTGATCAAAGAGGGGGAAAACTCTAATTCTGTAAAAACAAAAAAAAATTGCAGAAATTTGCCAACCCAAATTGGGTAGTATCATTGGATGAATCTTATCTCAGCTCATTAAGCAGATAGTTTTCTGCCTTTTAAATTTTTCAAATTCTCAAAAGAAAGAAAAAAAAAAAAACAGAGTTAAAATAGTAATTTCACGGCATATTTATGTTACTTTAGAAAGAGATTTATATTTCGATATTTTAATTGAAAAAGTTTTTTATAGACAGGAAGAGTTTATAACGCATTCTTCGGAGTCGTTTTAGTTTCACCGCGTAATAAGTCTCGAATAGAAACTTTTGCATTAAGTAATTTAATTTGTTTTCTACGTTCACACGCACGGCACGTGGATCGAATCTGTACTAGCATTAAAGATTCTGTCGAAGATATACAAATCTTTCTCTGGTAGAGATTCCGAGATTCATGTTTTATGGTAAACTCTTTCAAAATGGTAATAATTGCCTTTTGTTGTACTGTAGTTCTGTGAATCAGGTATAGTACAAAGTAAAAGTGACTTATAAATGTTTGTCTGTTGTGTTCATTACATAACTATTTTGGAAAAAATATCTATTAAAAAAAAATACAAAAAAGAAAACTTTGGTTTTGTAATTTTGATTCAGTTTCTAACATTCAAATGTGTTAGGATATATCAATAATTGTAAATAACATCCAAAAATTATGATTAAAAGTTTTTTTTATCTTATATGTTTTGTAAACTATTTCATTAAAAAATAATAATAATAATTCTTTATTAATAAATTTAGAAGTGTAAATTGAAATATATTTCTAACTTTAAGCAAAATTCTAAATTCTTGTAAGATTTTTAATAAAAGTTAATGAAAACAAATTTACTAAAACTTTATTTTCAGCTATTACAAGAGATTTTGGATTCTTGTCTTTCTCTCCGTGTGCGCAGGATGACGACGAAATTAATGCTTAATATCTAAATTGCAGTAGTATAGATTCCCACTGGCGTCCGTCTACTTGTCTGTCTTTCCTTCGTCTCCAGAACAGTGTTAGATGACTGGCACGACTTGTTAACGGGGAAAATATGACGTACAGGGGTAAGACTTCACAGCATTGTGACAATGTAATGAAGGATTGCTCGTTTAGAATAGAATTTAACCTTTCGTACGGGACAATACACACTTTTAGGATAATCGAGTTTTGACTAATTACGGATTGCGAAATTTCACGGTTGCGGCCATTTTTATAGAAATTACTGTAATAAGGCGGTGCCTGGAGGTTTCGTGTTGTTGCCTCAGTTTTCCAATATTTAAATTAACGACTCGCTATACCGACATAATAAATATGCGCAGACAATACAATTTCGGCCGAATTAGCTACTTTCCCCATTTGCTATTGGCGGACATTCCTAATTTCCCGCTTTAAATCAATTAGAAAATTCGCGTGCTCTCCCCTTTCTGGAAGGACATACTGTACGTAATCGAGGCCTCAAACTTCGAATTTTTTGGATTTTTTTTTTTTTTGGTCTCGTATCTCAAAAAGGGCCCTCCGGGAAATCGAGGAGTTAAAAACGAAAGAAAAAAGTTTAATGGTGAAATTGAGCAAAATTTCTTTTATGATTTAAATACCCAAAGGTACTAGCTTTACTATCTATATAGTCACAGCGAAGAATTAAGTGTAATACCGAACTAAAACTTTAAAATACTGTATATGCTCTCCACTTCAAATTAGTAGTAGCTTGCCCCTGTACTGTACATCATACTTTTCCAGTTGACGGGTGACTCTTGCTATCTTCGGAATAACAGCTCGACAATACAATTCATCCTTTTCTATCAATATAAATACCGAAGAAAGACGTTTGCCCATTGGTGTATTTTAGCGGGAGGGAATTAACTTGTTACTCGCCACCTCGTGATGTCAATTCGCAACCGTTTACGTCAGATCGTCTCGCTAAAAGAAAGTAATCCCCGAGAGTATTATTATTATTAAGTTAACCGAAAATTTGTTCCAGCGGGCGGTGATTATTCCGTCGAATTTTCGACGTACCATTGTGTTTGATTAACGCGATTTTGATCTTCATTTTTTAACTTTAAATTCTACCGACAGGGTAGATGAGGAGAAAGTTTTGCTGGTATTCTATGGCTTATTTGTGTTTCAACCAACGAGCTAGAACATACTACATAGTGGCTGTGACTATGGTTACAGCGCTCTTGGTGACAACGACGAGTACTACACAACAGGTTGGAATATTCTAGCTTGTTGCCTTTACACAACACGAATGCCACGCTCCCTTGACTAAAAGTAAAATGGCAGACGCGTATTCAATTTTCCTCAAACATTGCGTCGTTTCACTCATTGTATATTGTAGCTCGTTGGTTTCATACGCCGATGCAGTGGCGGATCCAGAGGGTGGACCAAGGAGCCCTGGCACCTCCAAACTGAAAGAAAAAGAAACACTAGTAAATTCTCCAAAAATATTTTTTTAATTAAAATTCATGTATATATTATTGTGTTTTATTTTTATATTACAGTACTTACGAATTAGCGGTCACAAGGTGGGAATTTGATTAAATTAACATTACAAATTTTTTTGTTTAGCGAGATCACGTGACTGGGGGACGAGACGAAGTAATGAAACGATATGTAACAACATATTTGGTCCTTAGTTTCTTCTATTTCAATTTTGATATTTTCATCTATGTTATTTATTACATGAAAATTAGTTTGTCCGTTACTTCACTATCGTAAAATATAAATACTGTAGAGGTAAGAATAAATTTTCGGTTGCATATACTTTTCGATTCGGATGGATCGATCCGCAAGATCATATCAGTTTGTCAAGTGATACAGAACGCTTCTGTCACGTGCTTTACTTGGCGGAAAGTATAAAAGTAGGATCTAATCTTTTTTACTCTGAATGAAATTGCTCACAAAATGGAAAGTGCACTCCATGTATTATTGCCCTACAATCTTGCAAAATTCTCTTAAAACTTTTTCATCTGAGCTTATCGAATATTTTACCATTTAAAAATTTTAAATACTTTTCATTTCGACAGTTAAACATATTTAATATAAGCTTGACTTTAACCACGAAGGCCTCCATCTTTAATTTTTTTTTTTATCGGATCCAAACGATCCTACCCGCCGCTGGGATTAGTTTGATCGCCATCCAGTTGATCCTAGATAGCGTTTGTATACGTGGATAAAGATTGACATCTCCGGGACGCAAAAGCCCAATAACTCGCGTTCAACTCCCCGACGTAAAGACATTGATCAGGTAATCTTGGATCAGTTTGATTACAAAAGTATATGCATCCCTGGTATTAGCGTGAAAACATTTGTTGTACCAAATAATTAGCAGAAATAGAACTGTTAAAAATTGAGCCCGGCGTTGCTCGGGCAAAAAGTAACGACGGCGAAGAGTGAGATTATTAGATTATAGCTGATCTTACCCGTTTTTAGTGAGTGCAAGAATTAGGTCCCTTCTCTTCCAAGACTAGACAATTTTTAGATGGATCTAAAATTATGTTCAATTTTTCGCAAAAACGCATCTAAAGTAGTACAGCAGAAGCCGAGTTCTTCAGGGTAATCCTTAACCCACTCCCTATCTCCGCGGGAGAGAGGAATTTTGAAAAATTTCTTCTTAGTGGTCATTCTCATGACGTACCTTAACTCTGTACCAAATTTCAAATTCTAACCGTTTGGGCTCTGCACTTATTATTATAAACCTACCTCGATTATAAGATACGGCTAATTGGGCTGCAATTTGAAAAAATTGTAGACATAAATTTTCAGTGTCGTTTGTCTTCCTGTCTTTCCTTAATCTCGAGAACGAGACCAGATGACCGAGCGGTTAAGGTGGCAGCCTACCACTCTGGGGCACGCCGGGATCGAATCCGAACGTGTCGAAAAATCCTCAGGAATTTTTCGGGAAATGATACGTCCTTTACCACCCGGCCGCTCCATTATGGGCCTGATCGAACTCATAATGAGCTTACTTAAAGAGGCCCTCTTAGTGCCCACGGGGCGGAAAGAGCAAAAAAAAATCAAGATTTTTTTATATTTTTCTAAAAATTAAAAAATGGCACCTTTTCAAAAATGCGTGTTGCAAACTACTTTTACAGGAGAAAACATTAAAAAATAGAATTAAATTCAATACAAGCAATTATTTATTATGACATGATCACAACGCCGGGCAGCAATTTTTAATTTATTTAATTTAAAATATTATATGCTCTCCATCTCAAATTAGTAGCGTCTTGCCCCTGTACAGCATACTTCTCCTGCTAGCAATAGAGTCGTGCCGGTCGTCTAGCTTCTTTTGGGGAAAATATTTGAATTGAAATAACCAGAATTTCGATGTATCGGGGCCTCCTGACCCCAAGCTTTTCATATCTGGTCTCGAATTTCATCTATCTCACACCCTTCTCGAGATTAAAGACGGGCGACAGAAAGCATTTATGGGTCTACACTTTTTTTCAAATTGCAGCCCAATTATCAATATGAAATAATTGTCGATACTGAAAACAATATAATTTTAGTGGTTTTAATCATATAAACGTATGCAAAAATATGGTTTATATGCTCGTATCTATTGTAAGTACTGTACTTATAGCACATTTGAGTTTAAAGTTTATCATAATCTGTATACATTTTGAAAATGGTTATACATTTATTAAAGACTATACTAACTACTAAAATATAGTTGTAAGCTTCTTGCCTAGATAAATTAAATTAAATAATTGGTTATTTGAGATAAAGTTAATGTTAAATTAACAATAAATACCGATCCCTATAAAGTTATTCGNAAAGGGTCGATATCCCGACGGGAGTCGGGGCTTTAATATCGACTCTCGCTGCGCTGAATGGGGCGATGTCTCGACGGGAGTCGGGACGCTATATCGTCTCTCGCTGCGAATGAAAGGGAAGATATATTTAGGTAGCTTTTTTACAGTGGATAAATAAAACTGGATGATATAAATCGTCGTACGAATGCTAAAAATTATCAAGACATGATTGGAGCTTATTATTTGCAATCGTATAACAAAGGAAAACCTTGCTTATCATGAGAATGCTATGCATGAGAATTTTATAGAAGATTTACTCTATTATTTTTAACAGCACGGGGATGATAATAATTGGGCGGTAATATGTCGCTTTTTGACTTTTTATTTTTATTTATCGCTATGATTATATTATAATTTAATTCTAAAACTAATAACATATTCTAAACTAATTCATAAACTAATTCTTCGGAAAAGAAACATTTCCGAAGGATTAGTTTATGAGAAAGGATAAAGGTGTAGCGATGATATCTGCAATTGCTTTATGATTATATTTAAATTATTTATGTCAGGAGGACGAACTTTTAAGTTTATTATAGTGTAATAGACTTCATTTGCAGTTGGTTCTTTTAGTACTAAAGATTTTACTATACTTTTAGACGAATTTAGCTTTAAAGATTGATTCACGCGCAGTTAAGATGTTCTGCAAAAGTTTCAGTTATAATTTCCTGGTTTTTCGTAGATTTCCGTTGACCAGCAATGATTTTATTTTAATATCATCCTTTTGTTTAGTTATATTAAAAGGTAATTTTTTAAATATTTTTTCAAAAAAATCTTCCGTAGAGTTGGTATTACTAAAAGGTTGTCATAATAGCTTGATTCTTCTTTATGAATGCCGATTCTTGTTTGTTTAAACAAATTTTTATTTCTAATTCTATGTTAATTCGTTGTTCTGATGGTAATTTTTTTTTTTAATTCTTAAAATAAGAATTTTTTTTTCCGTTTAACTTTCTGGAGAATTTTATGATTTTCTTTAAGAAAGTTTTCTTTTTAAGTGTTTTTCTGGAAGGTATTTGTCAGTAAATATTAATAGCATAGACATCAGATAATCTGCAAGTTTATTCACTGAAAGGTCACTTGTATAATAATAATTGCAAGAGAAGCAGGAAGAAAGAACACCCTGTAATAGTTNCTTTAAGAAAGTTTTCTTTTTAAATGTTTTTCTGGAAGGTATTTGTCAGTAAATATTAATAACACAGACATCAGATAATCTGCAAGTTTATTCACTGAAAGGTCACTTGTATAATAATAATTGCAAGAGAAGCAGGAAGAAAGAACACCCTGTAATAGTTCGATTGATTAGTTATTTATTTTACGTCGTTTTATAGTTCTTTTTCCTCTTCTCACTATATCTTTATCAGGAATAGAGACGAGTAAAGAAAGGTGGTCTGAAATAAATTAAGTATTGGTGGGCATTTTTCTAGATCTAATTCAATTTCTTGACCCAATTCGAGTTTACGTAGTTGAAAATCTTCACTCGTTTTTTCATATGTTCTTTCATTTTTTCTGCGCTTCTATAGGTTAGTATTTGTTGTTTTCTATTACAATACCCTCAGATAATTCTAGGAAGTAGCGATTCTAAATAATAAATTTAAAACAAAACCAAACTTTATTCTTTTCTAATTGTTGCGCATTTTAAGTTTATAGTAAATTTATAAAATAAACATATCCTCTCAATATATTTTACCTCGTTATTTCAATAGCATAAAGGATCATTCGGGAGGGTGAAGACTCCGCTGCAAACAAAAATCGAAGCAGAATCCTCCGAGTTGGAGCGTGCCGAATACTTGCCGAAGTACCAGATCTGTTTATTATTCTGCAGTTATACGTTTAATAAAGAAAGCCATTGATAAACTCAAAAAAATATTTTAAACCCAAACATTTTCTGGAACGACATCAGAGGTACAACTTTGAATTTGTTCTACGTTCTACATAAAATAAAATGCAGTTAACTGCAAAGAAAAATTCAAAAAACACACCTTAAACACGTCAATTAAAGTAATTTCACTTTCTTGTTAAATTACTTTAATTGGCAATTGAATGAATCGGATGGGGATAGATGTACTGTACTCACGGTAATTGGCTGCAGGTGTAACGTGACTTTTACGTCACTTTCCTCCAAAACATTTAATTGTATTACTCGTATATCCGACGTAAACCCTGGTTTATGCATATTTATTGTTCTCAAATATACGTATCTATGAAATTAAAACATGTTATTAATTAAAATCCAGAGAATGCCGTAAAAAATTACAGTGCATGCATCCTGTAAAAATGCTTGATAGAATCATAACTTTAATGGAACGAAAAAATAAGCAATTTACAAAAGAAACGTCAGCTTTTTTATTCTAACATCATTTATCGTTAACGTTATATTAATATATACATAAATATAGCAAACACAAGGTAGCGTAGGAAACAAAATCGACGTACGGCATTCTTATTTACAGTACAGTACGTGATGTACTGTACTGTAAATAAGAATGCCGTACGTCGATTTTACTACTGTGTGTACTGTGTGTACAGTACATCACGTACTCTACACACAGTACTAGTACTAGTACTGTACGGTGCTTTAAGTAATTCCTCGATTCGATGCTACCGCGTATATCAAAATCGCGTTAATCAAATACAATGGTACCTCGGTGCTCGACCGAACAATCACCACACGCCAGAACAAATTTTCGGTTAATAACAAATATTTTTATTTAGCATTTGTCATGGGTAAAAAAGTTTTCTACGATAAAAATGAGTGTCTAACTTAAAAATAAAATGACCTTAGAGCTCCCTTGGAAATTAAAAAAAGAAACAACCAGACGACAAAGGGGAGCACCTGCCTCAATGTATAGACACCCCTAGGTGATATACTTTTTTTTTTACTCATTCCGCCCTGTGGGCACTGAGAGGGCCTCTTATAGCAGGCCCACAGTGGGGCGACCGAGTGGTGAGGGACGGGGCCCGACATATCCGAATGGATCACCCCCGAAAAATTTTCTGGGATTTCTTGACCCGCCTGGATTTGATCCCGGGTCCTCCAAACCGGTGGGCTGCCACCTTGACAGCTCGGCCATCTTGTCCCGAATTAACGAAGTTCTATCGTATATTTTTCCTGTTTCACGGATGATATTTGTCATACCTGAGTATTGTATTGCCCATTACGAAACGCCCTATTTTTTTTTTACCTTTACATATAATTCTAATATATAATTATATTTTTTACTTATATTAAGTTACCTTTTTTAATTAATATCATTAAGTTATATATATATATATATATATATATATATCCAGTGCTGTTACATTTTAAAAAAGATTTATTTCAATGTTGCCAGTACTATTTTTCGAGCTGGCAACACTAACAAAAAAAAGAGTTCCGTAATCTCAAAAATGGCTCTCTCTGCAAGATTCCAGTTTAAAAGTCTTCTGCGGTCATCCTTGTTTCGACTAGAAAAGAGAGCGTGCCAGATAAGCGTCAAGGAAAGAATCGAGAAGAAAAGAAGCGAAGCTTTAGTTGGAGGAGGCAAAAATCGAATCGATGCGCAACATAAAAGAGTACGAAAATATTTCCTCTGCGTGTGGAAATGACGAATGCAATAATAATGTGAGATTCTAACTCTAAATGAGGGGTAACCACCTTCCCTACACCTCATTCGGAGCTGGAACCTTATATGCTTGTTGCAACGTTAACATGATTTACAACATGATATGTTTATATCAACTATTTACAACAGAAATAATTATTATTGACTTGTTGCATGGGTGAATGCAGTATCTTGCACTACATTCACACGTGCAATAAGTCAGTAATAATTATTTCTGTTGTAAATATGCTCTATAAATGCATCATATTGGGTAGTGAGTGCAGTGTCTTGTGCCGCATTCTATAATAGTGCGAGACGACCCATTGCCTAATACAGTGGCTTTAAAATGGCCGGATGAATAAGCCGACAATTTGGTCCATTTTATTGGAAACCATTCGTGTCGTTGGTTTGCTTATTACGGCTGCGTTGCCGGACAATGTGCCCTTTATCTCTGTTAGCTATGGAAGCACTCTGCTACGATTGTAGGCTATCTGTAAATGAGCAAAAATACCAAAAGAATTGCAAATATAGGCATTGAAGTTTTTATTTGTTCTTTTTGATTTGGTCAGATCATCAAAAATTGCTGCCATTTCTTTTAAGATTTCTCTTGACTCTTCACTACAGAAGAAAACCTTATAATTTGTATAATATATATACAGAATTGTTAAGAGGAGGAGTGTGTCCTAGAGGAAAGGTAGAGATCCGTAGTGATTTCTACCCCTATAAGTTAATGTTTTTTTTTTTTTTACTAACAAAAAAATAAAATCTTTAAGATTGCTATTTGTTAATAAAATTGTGACTACACATTTTGAGTGTTTAAAAAAAAAAAAAAAAAAAGGTAAAAGGGACCCATTCTACTTGCAGGCCCATATCAAGCTTTCAACAGCTATATAGTAAGTAATTAATCTTACTATGATTTAGCATCAATTCTACTAAACATTACAGAAAATAACATTATATTGGCATCTTGACATCTTATAAATATTTAGCTTATTTTAAATACTGTTTTAGACAATCAAAAGGACAATCCATATACCTTTTGAATTTACCTTATTATATAGGCAATGACAGATTACTAAATGTGCAGACTGCACGTGCACAGCCACAATTATTACGAGGTCCCCCAATTCGGAAAAGTTTAATCTCTGTCCTATATCTAGTTGCTAGGTGACTTTTTTTTTACTAAAATGTAAATGTCAATAAAATTGTGTAAACTATTTTTGCTTTGTTTGTCTAATCTGCTATTCTCTCTTTCATATTTTTCACTCTGTGGGCTTCTCTACTGCTTTCCATACTTTCAATATCAGTGATTTGTCACCATAAGGCATATAGGAGTATTTTGAACATTTTCTATTTAGAAAGATCTGAAGGTTGACTACATCTATTTTGTGAAAATGTCTTAATTTTATGATATGTTAAATTAAGTCCTTCTAACATGTCTCTAGTTCTCCCTGTGAAAAATTTGACTTGCTATGAGTCTTGTCTCTTTCCACTTTTCCAAGTGCAAACTGAATATGCACAGACTGGTTTATGAGATACGACTATGCTGACATTTTATCACTTGAAACCACAGAATGCATGGATTCACCATTTGAACAAACTCGCAACTTACCGGCAACCATAAAGCAAAAATACACGATAGTGCTTACTCCAGCACTTTGATAGAAAGATAGATACCTATATGTTTTCGGCCACATATAGGGGCCTTTGTCGGGTAATTGAATCGTTTCACAAGTTGAACAGGTTCCAACACGTTCAGAACAGAATTTTCTGTACATAATGTGATGCAATTTAAAAATTACAAATGATTATTAATGGCAAATACATTAACTGACATGACACACATAAATGAAAGATATGTTAATTTATAATCATAAATATTAAAATTAATTAATATAGGTATAGAAATATAGCAGATTAAAATGAATGTATTATAGTCCTATGAACTAGGCTGCCAATAACTCAAAAGTTTAAGTTATTGGCACAGAAAAATCACATTTCCTCACACTTTCCAGCAATAATTGTTTAAAATTACACCTTCCTCACATTTGCTTGTTTATTAATGTGTTATATGTTAGTACCAGCTCATAAATTCAATAAATTTATTTTGACCTTTGCTACAATTTTGTTTTTTATTAGAAGTAGGAATCCTATCTGCACATAATATATATGTGTGGTGGGTGCTCTTACAGTGTGGAGAATTATATGTGCCAGGAGTGGTTTAACACTATCCTGATAGGACCCATATACTCTGTATCACAAATACAAAAGAGCTGCATTTTATATTGGAATAATTTTATATATAACTTATATTGCATGCTATATATATAGAGGAATAGCATTAAAGTCAGACCCTACCCTTTAGTAATAAGAGTAGGGTCTGATATATGGGAAGCCATAGTATCTAGAAATCTATGGCATATATTTGTGATGGCCACATGTCATCGACTAGTAATTATATTATTCAGTTGCAAACAGTAATAATTTTCATAATGCAGAAAAACGTGTATTAAGTTAATGACTGAATAATTTAGAATGGCTTAATTAAATTAAGATGATCATCCAGGATTATTTTTGTCTCAATTTTATTCTTTCAAAAAAGAAAAAATAAACTGGGGTATTTCCTATGATAAAATACTATTGAACTTTCTTTTCTCTTACTATAATCTAATTAATTTGTATTTGAATAATTTTTATATTAGAAAACTTCTTTTGCTTCTCTCAAAAAACTGGTAAACTTGAATTTTTAGTTTCTCTTCTATCCCAATTTATATAGAAACATTGCAGTTGGCTAAACATATAATAATAATGATTGAATTTCCATTTTCTAGGGAAAGTTAACGGCAAGAGAGAGAATAACGCTGTTAATGGATCCGGGAAGTTTTGTAGAATACGACATGTTTACAGAACATACGTGTACAGATTTTGGAATGGAAAAAGAGAAAGTACGAACTGTTATAAAAATATTGTATTACTTTGTATTTACTTGTGCAATATTTATTATTTTTACATATATAAATTAATCTCTGTTTCAATTTTAGTATCCGGGTGATAGCGTAGTGACCGGTCACGGTTTAATTCACGGAAGACAAGCATTTGTATTTAGCCAGGTAAGCTTGAGATGTAATCTAGATTAATACTAGATTCCAATATATATCATTATTTGAAATTATGCTTTATGCCATTTTTATTTGTGTTATAGATTTTATAAGAATGTTTAAACAGTTGTAAAAATAAATAATACAAGTGAAAACAAAACACAAAACTTCATTTTTGATAGTCATAAAACTGCAAGTACTCTTTCTAGAATACACATGAGATATGCAAATAAGCATACTTTTCCTGGTTTGATATATGCTGGTCTACCTAATTTTTTTCAGTTTTGGTCTATAATGTTTGTTAATTTTATTTTATTATCTCTAGAAAAGAAACAAGTTACAATTTGTCATTTATAATGTAGGTTTGTAGGTTTGTCATTTATATTGTAGGTAATGCAATTTGTAAAAATTACTAAGAAGGAAATCAAAAATTCATTTTATACTGATCAATTCCCAAGTATTAGCAAATATAAATTAAAAGAAATTTTCTCATTTCTAACATTCTTTCAAATCTCTTTATTCACATTACAATTAGTATCAGTTTTTTTTTTTTTTTTTTTATACATTTTCTCCATATTAATAATAATGGATCTTCCAAAATGAATGCTATCATTTTAAATTACTGGAATTGTGTTAATTATACCCGAGAAGTATATGATGTACACCAATCGATTAAGTAACCATCAGAGTTTCGTCTCTTATCTACATTCAAATGTCTTGTCATCGTCTACTTCTAGAAAGCATCATAGATGAAAATGTTGACTGTGCAACAGAGAAGGCATTTTGTATTCTATAGTTTACAAACTTGGGATTAGTAATCTGCATAAGCTGTAGAATCATGGCTGCGGTGAGAGGAGTGACAATGGATATACTGTTGTGAGCATAGGAAAAATTTGAGTAGTGGTTGGATGTGTGCCATGTGACACAAGTTATGAGCATTGAGAAATTGTAATGGACAAATGTGAAGCTTGGATGTATTTCTAATGTTTCAACATATATTACAATGCTCTTGGGTAATAGTTAACATAATTATAGTAATTTAAAATGATAGCATTTTTTGTGGAAGACACTATTATTTATTTCATATGCTTTTAAATTACTTTCTTCCTATTAATCATGATAGAATAACTGACTACATTGCTGCAAGTTTTGAACATATCAAATGTATTCTAAGATTCTTTAATAATATATTTTTATGTTATTTAATATAATACATTTGATGACTGTTACAGTTCTTCAAAAACTGCAGAAATTGAGATTTGTCAAGAAAGAAAATTGGTATAAAGTATTGACTATCAAACTTGTGACAATCATTTATACAGATTATCTCTTTCAATACTGCTGTCTGATTACTTGTTTTTGCTATTGAGGTAATAAGATTTCAAGGAAAGAAACAAAAGACATAAACTGAAAAGATGTTTTCTTTTAAAATTATTTTTAAATTTAACTAAAACTCAACAACTATTTGCTATACTGTACTTATTAGATTAATAAATTTGAATGAGGTAAATGTAGTTTCTTCTCAGAACAGAATAACATATTTAACATATTCTCTGCTCTTATAATTTTGAGTGAGATCTTTAGGATTTTATGTTTGATGCTTTTTATTTAAAGTATTAATTAATTATTTTTACAGTAAAGACTGACTAGGTTTTTATCATTAAAAGCACATAAACAATGTATAAGATTGGAGAAACTCTAACGTTTTGAATTGGTTAACTGGCATCTTCAAGTATGATATACGAGGAATGCCCTCTTATGTTCACATCTAAAAATGGTCCATTAACTGGATTGAAAATATTAAATGTTTCTCCAATTTTATCCATTGTTGAAGGTATATTGCTTGCTTCATTAAATTAGCTAGAGTTGTGCTTAATTTTGGTCATGCAAATAATACTTTGTTAATATTCCAGGATTTTACTGTCTTTGGTGGAAGTCTTTCAACTGTTCATGCAAAGAAAATATGCAAGGTAAGTATTTTAAATAGCAGAATTTTATACAAAACAGAAATGATTTAATACCTGAGTTTGCTTTATAAATTTCAAAACTGAAATTTGATAATTTCAATATACGTATAAAAATTAATATCCTACTTTTAGGATATTTATTATATCTTTTTGTAGTTAGTTATAAAAATTATTCTTTTGCCATAAGTATTGGGTTGTTCAGAAAGTAATTTCGGTTTTTTTTGTGGGAAAAAAACAATATTCTTATAATATATAAATATTTTATTGAATTATATATTGACCATTTTGATCAAATACCTTTTGCCATCTTTCTGTTAGTAGCATGATTCCACGTTCATAAAAGTTTTGATGTTTGCTTACAAAAAAACTGATCCAAGTGATTTTTGACATCCTCATTTGTTTTATCGTTTAAAAAATTTTGTAAAGACCTGAACAAGTAATAATCCGAGGGTGCCAGATCTGGTGAACATGGTGGGTGTTGTATCACATCCCGTCTAAGTTGTAACAGTTTCTGACGAGTTACCAAACTTGTGTGAGATTTGGCATTATCATTGTGAAACACTATACTATTTCTGTTGATCAATTCTGGCCTTTTCTGTTTGATGGTATCACTCAATTTGTCCATTTGGTGGCAATACACTTTCAAATGATTTGTGGAATTGTCTGGTAGATGCTCAAAAAAAAAAAAAATCCCTTAAAATCCAACTAAAGAGAGCATCTCTTTCTTTAAGAACATGTGGAACCTATATATCGAGCTTTGAAACGAAACCAAGTTGTTTCAAATGATCATAAATGGTTCAATTTGACAAATTTAATCTCTTAGTGATTTCTTGTGTTGTTATTTGGCAGTTTGCTTCAATCAGTACCTTTATTTTGTCTTCATCAGCTTCAACTGGCCTTCCAGAACGTGGTGCATCTTCAATATCGAAATTGCTAGAATGAAATTTTGTGAACCAGTTTTGGCACTGTCATTCTGTCAACACATCATCTCCATATGTCACACAATTTTTTTCTTGCTTGAACAGCATTTTTATTTTTTTGGTAATAAAAAAGTAAAATATGGCAAAAATGCTAATTTTGATTTTCCATATATGATGGGACACCAAAAAAAAAAAAAAAATATACAGAATCAAA